TGTGTTGCGAACGTCTCCCACGGGAACGGGTCGGATTCGAGGGCGAATCCTGCTCAACCGGAGGAGAATGATGCAGAATAATTAGATTATTATTATTATTATTATTATTATTATTATTATTATTATTATTATTAGTTATCTTGGAGAATAAGTTAGGGTTTGTTTAATATTTACTAAGAGTTCTTGTCTTGTTGGACAAGTTAGGTCTACGGTTAGGAGCCTTATATAAAGGACGCCCCCTAGTTTATTTTCATTAGTTGATTATTGAATTAAAAATGAGATTGTGAGTTTTATTGAGAGAGTATCTCGTTTATTCTCCAAGATAACTAATAATAATAATAATAATAATAATAATAATAATAATAATAATAATAATAATAATCTAATTATTGTGCATCAGTTGGTGAACTGAAATTGTTGGCTTTCTTCGAATTTGTGCTTGGGCTATCAGGTCACTGGTCATGTTTTAGGATATATTTTTCACTTTTTTCTTTTTTAATAATGTCAAGTTGGTGGTGGTGTTCAAAAAATAGAAAAATATACAGATAATTATATAACAAGTGGAGGCATCGTAAAGCTTTTCTTTGAAGTTTATATAGTTTATATAGTTTGGACTACCTATATATTTTCATGGGTTTTCTTTTGTTTATTGATGTATTGTAATTGTAATTGTGTAATGTAATCAAAGCTTAGTTATATCTACTTTAATGTTGCAGATTGTAACTTTGGACACATGTTTCATGATTTATGTCTCAATAGTGCACCTGTCAAGTTCGTATGTATATACATTCAAGCATTCATTTTAGATTTCAACACGTAAGTATTTACATTATGGGAAATCTTAGTTTAAATGATTCACTAATATATATATATATATATTTAATATTTAAAAGCTGGCAATTTATTCATATTCAAGAGTAAATTAAGTGGTATGTAGCTTCTCCATTCACTAAAATGCATACATATATATTTAATATAAGTGATTTTGGAATAAGTTGTATGCTATGTTGGTTGCTAAATATTAACAAAATTTGGCTATTCAATTCAAAACAGGCACATATATATATGTATATAGAAAATTATTTTTATAATGATCTAATCTGATTATTTTTATAAAAAGAAAGAAAATATGAATATTGTCTCAAAACACCACAATCAAGGCTCTCAATTTTTGTGTCCATTTCAAATTTCGATTCTTCTGCAACCATTCGGGAAGGCCCGATGTTTTTTCGAACAAATTAGAGTTTACTATAACTAATTGGAGTAATATAAAAGCATGATTGAATATATGTTTTTGTTTTAGCATTCAGTCAACTGTGATGATTGCATTAATTTACCAATCTATCAAAAGTGTTGATTAGTTCAGAACTCCCTAGATATCAATTCCGGGAAAATTTGGAGATTTAATCTTGTAACTAACACTAAATTGATTGCGTTAATTTTATAACACACCTAGTAACTGAAAAAAATAATTTGAATTTAGGTCCTTTCACTGGAAAAAACCGGTCAATGTGACATGTGGCATTTTATTTTCTTATTCATGTTTTTTTCTAGTTATAGTTGTTTTGTAAAATCAAGTAATCACGACTATTTATTAATTGGGTGTTAGTTACTGAATTAAATCTGCATTTTATCTTCAATTGGGCATGTACTCCTTGTAGGCACATATACAATTATTTGAAGACATATATGCAAGGTAATTTGTTTACAATGGTCAAGAAAAGACAACTTAACTAAATGTACTTGCACCTCAAACAAATCATAGGTCAACAATACAGAGTTAATAACCATTAAGCATAGGAGTTCAAATTTTCTCACCATATTGGGTTTACTAAGGCTGTTGTTAGGCGGGTGTGCATTGGATAATTATAACTTTTTCAACTGATATTGTATATTTTCAATTTAAGATTTCATACTATATATGAGTAACAACATAGACAAGAGTATTACATTTTTAACTATTAGTATATATTTTTATTAAAAAAATGTATGATTGATCAATGCGCTTAGCTAGTAGTTAAGCTGACTCATTCGAGAATTTATGATTGATTTTTGTTGTCTTATGTTGTATAAGTTGGATAAAAACTGTCTGGTAAAAGAGGACAAAAACTTTTGCATTGTTTGACATAGTTTAAAAATAAAAGACTTTCCTAATTAGGTACAAGTCATGTTGAAAGAGTATTATTTTAGGCATAAGTTCAAAAATAAATATATTGAAGATATGTTCCTACAAGCACAAGGAATCTATTTAAGGGAAGTTTGTTTACTTATTGAGATAGATATTTGAATTTTCTATTTATTTATTAATTAAGTTACATGATCTCATTCTGGTATTGTTTTTGTAGGATCTCGATTTTAAGGAAGGGATACTCATGAGATAAGGAGAGATCAAGAGAAGATCATCATGTAAGGAAATAAGATCTTAGGAGAGAGAAGAAGAGTCCTAATGCCACTATGGGACTTTGGATAAACTTGAAAGGAAATCAAGAATCTTTAAAAGACTCCACATGAAGGAAATTGTATAAATACTCACCTTGAAGATCAAAGTAGGGTTGCTGAGATTATCACTTACACACGTCACCTTCAAGCTTCAAGTTTTTGTGCTTACATTTTATTTTCAGTTCAGTTCTTAGAACACTCGATCACCGAAGAATTGAAATCATTTTGATTGTATTTTTCCTTTATTCTGATTCAAATATTTCGTTATTTACACTTAGGGAGTAAGTGTATGAAAAATAAATCCACGGGAAGTGGTCGGAGAAGTAGTTGATAGATTGATTCATGGTGAGGCTAGACTAGAAGGGAGTTCTAGTTTTTGTAAGACCAAACAATGTTTGTAAGAGTTATCAATGAAAGAGCTCTGAGAGGAAGTGGGATGCTTCCCTGAAGAGTTTTTAAATCTTTGGTGTATTGCTTCCGCTATATTTCGTCTTTACTCTTGTTCTTACAAAGTTGAGCGCACTCCCGATTAATATATACGTTTCACATGTGATGAAAAATATCTAGCAATTTCATTTTTAGCCTTTAGATGAGTTTGACTAGCACATATTTAGTTCATGTATAAAAGCTAGTTAGCTATAATTTACTCTTGTGATCAAGCAAAAACTAAGAAAAGACAGACAAATTAGGCTTGTGTATAGATTTGCTTTGAAAGTCAATTTTCTATATATTGTCAAACTATACTATTGTAACTAGTATTCCATTGTAACTAGTATTCGAGTCTGTGCATTTGCAAAATATAAATAGAATATTATAAGTTACATTTATGCATATAGTATTAAAATTATAAGCTATAGAGTATTATAAGTTATATTTATGCATAGAGTATTATAAGTTATATTTATGCATATAATAATAAAAATATAAATTAGATAATGATATTATGTTTTAAAATTTGATCATTAGTTAAAATAAATAGTACATAACTATTTGATTGTATATGAACCACTATATTAATTACGTAAAATATAATAAATAATGTAATTTTGACAGATAGCCAATTTATTAGCTTAAAAATATTACATTTATTATAACATTTGATTATGTGATTTTAAGGAATTTTACTATAACATTAAAATAAATTAACTTATTTAAAAATACAATCGCTAAATAAGATAAAAAAAATATAATATTAATTTTAAAATAAATAACTTTAGCAAAAAGTTTACAATAATGTTTTATATTTATGTAGCTTTTATATATCATTTAATGTAAACTATAGTTATTAGTTTTAATAATGACTACTATATGATATAATAAAATAGTATAATTATTACTCCATTAATATAAAATATAACGATTTTTGTCTTAATTAACCCTAAAAAAGTGCAATGAAATATTTTAGCATTAATTAGATATGGTGGATTAATAATAATAATAATAATAATAATAATAATAATAATAATAATAATAATA